CCGAATAAAGCGACGTATCAAATATCTGGCATGTGCTACACATCCTTAGTGAATATGTATTAAAAAAACATCACCCTTTCGTCTATAGGATATAACCTTACGTAGAGACGACGAGGATCCGAATTGTGTGAGCAGATTTTTTTTATTTTTCCGATAATCCTGTCCCCTCTTCCGCTCAGCCCAAGAGGATGCCCCCATATCTTGTGATAGCGTCCACACAGATAATCTACTAAAAAGGGTTTATCCGGTTCTATATCAGTACCTACGGGTTTTGCCTACTTCTGCGATTAACGTTTTTGATTGATGACGTTTGTTAGATGAGAATATTTAGGGATGCCAATGCAAAGTTGATGTTGCATTGAGGGGAATTCGTGGCATTTTCATGATGTTCGCTTTTGAACGGCTCATTTGATTTTTAGCAGTCAAAGTAAAAAAAATCTAAAAAATAAGGACGATTACGTTCTAACGTCACGGTTTTGTTTTGGGTGCACATGCAGAAAATAAAATCCTAATGTACGAGCTGCTATCCCGGATAGATAGACTCTAGACCGGCTATGCCCAAACCCACGCCCCCCTCGCCTCTCGAGCCCCCATATTGCGACTCATCCGTAACTGACCAGCTAACCGCTAGCAAAAAGAGTACGTTATTACGGGATCGGCCCCTTATTTCTCTTCGAGGTCTATTGTAGGCAAAACTTTCACCCCAGCCGAGATTCGTACCCAAATCTCTTTGTTTCCGCTTACACGTGTGAATGCTCTTAAGCTATATATATAACTTCATCATCGAAGCCTGTTATACGAAGTTATACGTGCCCGTGGTGTAACTGGTAGCACAATTGCCCGGAAAGCAAGAGATCCGGGTACAAATCCTGCCCACAACGCAGCATTCTTGTGATGACCTTCGCAAGGCGAATTGGGCATAAAACAGTAGTTATCCTATAAAGACGAGTTGAAATGGTAACACCTAATTACAGTATTCACTTAGTTGAAGCCCTCGATGAGTTCAATTAATGACGATCAAAATTTTACGGTGGCATTGAGTTGTCAGCAATTTTATGGCTTCTGACAACAGATTCAACTGCTCAAGCCCTATTCAACAAGCCCTGGTCTATCCTCCAGACGAAAACTAACAAATTGAGGGATGGCGCCAAGTGTAGGCATGCGTGAAAGCGAGGTGTTGGTTTGCCTCTTTGTAATCGCCAGGTCCGTATAACCGTGTGTGTGTATGTGTGACGAGGTTTTAGCACATGCATTCTCTCATTCAATCTCTCCTTTCTCTCTCACACAAACGGCTACGCGTCAGCGTGCTTTGTTCGGAGCCCCAAACCCACCCCCGTAGTCTGATTCAACAATTATGAGAAACCTCAGAAGATTCCTACGTATCTGAGAAGCGTAGAAAAACCCACCGACAGCGCCCGCATTAACGCACTCCGATTAGACCAACTATATGGAGTTTTTCATGCGCTGAGATCCTCACATTTTCTCGCATACTGTAGCACCAGTTTCGAGTATTTATTATTCACTCGTGGGAGCATCGAAACCCACATACGATGGTCGTGTGCGCAATTCAACTAGGATTACAGATAAGGGCGCTATCGCATTATACGGGGGCTCGTAGAGCAATATATTTCAAACTCATGGAAACGATATTTTTCGGTCGTTTTTTGAATGGTTGAGAGGTTTAAGCGATTTGTGATCGCCTTGCCGGAGACTTTTCTTGAAGTTTGGGATGATGTTAGGGGGGGGGGGGGCGAATCGCATTCATCTTTGACATTCCAGGCTTTGACGAAGAAACGACCGAAACGTTAGCCGAATAAAGCGTTATCAATATCTTGGTGGCCATTGCTAGGGACCCTAGTGAAGTATGTATGTAAAACATCACCCTTTCGTCTATAGGATATAACCTTACGTAGAGACGACGAGGATCCGAATTGCGTGAGCAGATTTTTTTTATTTTTCCGATAATCCTGTTCCTCTTCCGCTCAGCCCAAGAGGATGCCCCCATATCTTGTGATAGCGTCCACACAGATAATCTACTAAAAAGGGTTTATCCGGTTCTATTATATTATGCTACGGGTTTGCTACTTCTGCGATTAACGTTTTGTGGATTTGATTGGACGTTGTTAGATGAGAATATTTAGGGATGCCAATGCAAAGTTGATGTTGCATTGAGGGGAATTCGTGGCATTTTCATGATGTTCGCTTTTGAACGGCTCATTTGATTTTTAGCAGTCAAAGTAAAAAAAAATCTAAAAAATAAGGACGATTACGTTCTAAAAGTCAGGTTTTGTTGGGGTGACATGGGAGAAAATAAGATCCTAATGTACGAGCTGCTATCGTGAGAGATAGACTCTAGAGCGGCTATGCCCAAACACCGCCCCACTCGGTCTCGCCCCCATATTGCGACTCATTCAGTAGACTGACCATCTACCTAGCAAAAGAGTACGTTCTGCCAAAGTGTGACCACAGAAAGTATGTAGGGTAACCCTGGTGCGCTGCCTAAATGAATCATACTCACATTCTGTTGCATTTACCCCAGCACAATCATTCATTCATTCCATGGTTTCGGCGCAAAAGTCAAATATACCATGCGGAACGAGGACGGGACTTGCCAGCATCATACATCAATGACGGGAATTTTTGTGAGAATTGGAGCCCATTCCTCCTACTAGCAATAAGAGATCCTCTTGTCAAAACTCACAGGCCCAGTTTATTGCAAAGTGTCTTATGCTCCTTTAACATATCAAAATACTTCGGCTTACTGTACTTTCACAAAGGCCTACACGGCTCGAGAAGCTCAATCTCCACCATCTTGGGTCAATGTATAGCTGCTACTGCTAGGCCTTCTCCGTTGATTATTTAGATTCAACGTCCACGACAATTCTCCCAAAATGGTAGAGAACCTTTTGCAATGAGCGATAGAAAAATCCAAAAGGACTAACCATATGAGGCCGGGTGAGGTATTGCCGTCACAGGAGGTAATCCAACACAACAAATGTATTCAAAGCGTTGTTGGTTTTCGTCTTAGCTACCGATGTCAAGGTAATATTTGCTGAATGGTAGACCTCATAACGTGCCGCTCTAAGGATTTGTTCGACCTGATCGGTCCACTCGACTTCCTGCTGCGTAACTTTGCTCATTACGTAATAGATGCTCATTATTCTAGGCGGTTCGGCCACTCCACCAGGAAAAACGGTTCAAAACTAGCATGAGCAGCGCTCCATTACGATCTGATACTCAAGCTTCCCAAGTCGCGTTTAACATTCCGGCGTGAAGAAGCAATGCGGTATGAATGCGGTCCATTGCTTCTATTCCTTATGTGGAACATCTCCTGAAACTGGAGAATGGCTAAACCCCGATTGTGACGCGTTTTAAATTAATACGAAAATAGTCCAAGAGCGACTTTCTCTTAATCTTGGCATGGAAGTTGATGTGAATAGTTTTGCTGTAGCCTGACCAAGATTTCAGCACTTTTTATTAGGCTTACGTTTCGGCCTCTTCGCCTTCGTTAGAGCCTAATTTGTAAAAGACATTCAGCTGCTATATTTATGCTCATACGGGAGCAATCTGGAAGGCCCCCCTCCATTTTCCTGGCGACTTGACAGGACAGAAAGAAGAAATGGTCATATGAGTGCTCCGGGCTGGATTCGACCATACCTGAAGGGAATTCCG